AGTACTGGAAAACAGTCACTGAAGGTCTCTGGTGTGAGTCTCGGCTGTGTCAGATGGTGTTTCTGTGTGGAGTTTGCATGTTCTCCCCGTGCTGGTGTGGGTTTCCTCCGGGTGCTCCGGTTTCCCCCACAGTCCAAACACATGCGCTATAGGGGAACTGATCAACTACACTGGCCGTAGTGTATGAGTGTGTGTGTGTGAATGAGTGTGTATGGGGGTTTCCCAGTGATGGGTTGCAGCTGGAAGGGCATCCGCTGCATAAAACATATGCTGGATTAGTTGGTGGTTCATTCTGCTGTGGGGACCCCTGATAAATAAGGGACTAAAGAAAATGAATGAATGACTGATTATTTCTGTCAGTGCAACAGCGAGAGACAAGACCCTGCTGCGGTGTCTGGGCATCACACACATCCTGAACGCTGCAGACGGGCCTCAGCACATACACACCGGCGCAGAGTTCTACTGGGACACACACGCAGAGTACCTCGGTATAGAGGCGGCGGACAGCAGACACTTCAGCATCACACCCTTCCTACAGCCAGCCGCGGATTACATCCATCAAGCTCTGCAGGGTGAGACATCAGAGCAGACCGCTACATACCACCAAGACACTTTAGTTTCTCACTACTATAAGCTGCGCACGGTGTGTGGCAATATACAGAACACTATTGTTGTACAACTGTAGTTGTTGTGTTACCATAGCGACTGCAGAATCACCACTACAGATCAATTACTGTAGTTGTCGTGTTACCATAGCGACTGCAGAATCACCACAACAGATCAATTACTGTAGTTGTCGTGTTACCATAGCAACTGTAGAATCATCACAACAATTTTCTCAATGCTTTTGTGATTATTTAATGACATCGTCTAGACATTTCTGAGGTTATTAAAGGGGCAGTTGAACCACGCAAGTACTAACACAAGTCGGACTGTTTCATTTCCCAGTGTAAAGAGTTGTGAACCCTGCCTGCTGTGTGTGTGTGTGTGTTTGTGTGTTTCAGATGGAGGGACGCTCCTGGTTCACTGTGCGAGAGGAGTGAGTCGATCCTCCACATTAGTTCTGGCGTATCTGATGATCTATGAACATCTCAGCATCGCAGACGCCATCGCTGCCGTTTCTGCACACAGGAATATTTTACCCAACGCTGGATTCCTGCAGCAGCTGCGAGTGCTGGACGCCAGCCTCATGCAGAGAGAGACACATCCACACCCACACTGATTTAAATAAAAGAATTAAAGAATAATTAAAGGAGCTCCATGTGGAACTGATCACCTCTGCTCATGAGCGACACCGGTGGTCAATCAGTGAACTGCAGCACTGATTCATACTTCATTAATTATTATACACTAGATTCACACATAATCCACACGTGCAGATGTCTTAACCCATCACTTCATCTGTTTATTTACTTATGTAGATGTGATTAAATATATTGATTTAGTCTATTATTTCAGTCAGATTAATATATACTAGTCATACTAACTAATATGTGAATTCATGATTTATTTACAATTCAGTTAAAGTAATATTCTCTGCATTACTTGTATCTATATTTTATTAGAGATTTACTTTTCCAAACAAGTGGATCTCTATTGTAAACCTTTAATAAAACTTCAAAAGTACAATATTTTGCAGAGAATCATGAAAAAAATGTTTGCAGATTCTGTCTGGCCCTGCCAAAGCGGTTCGCAAAACAGTGTTGTTTCAGAGCTGCTGTAGTTTTAGTAGATGAACACCAGATTCAGTTGAGTGTAATGCAGATATCCCAGCACTGAAGAGCAACTCCACTGATCATACATCTCTAAAAATAACCCAGAACCCAACACCAAACAACAGCGGACAGCGATCTGCAGCTCTGCACCCAGCCGAGCAAACACACAACACCACACCACCTGTAAAAGAGACTGAAGTGGGGTTTCTGAGGGTGCTGCGGATGGTTTCAGAGCTGTGTGTGGGGGGATACTCCTGAAGATGAGCTCTGCACAGGCTGAAGACGAGCAGGACTACGAGACGCCCAGCTGCTATGAGCTGCAGAAACACTTCACACACGGCGGCGTCGCATACACTCACGTCAACGAGGTCTGGCCTGGTGTCTACATAGGGAACGAGTGAGTGTCTGCACTATAATAACAACACATACTAATTAGTCAACAGCCAACTGCATCAACTAAACGTGCTGAGGCTGTAAACCACAAACCAGGAACGCCCTCTA